AGGAGAATCTCCTTTAAGTAGAAGATGAATATAGATTTGAAGATTTGAATTAATATTTCAATACCTTTCATAGGGCCATGGCTTGAACTGGTGTGCTTTACTACTGCATGAACACTATACAAATCTACTGGCACTTAAATAATAGTGGCAAATTGTTTGACTATTTTCTCCTGTCAAATTTCAAGTAGGTTTTCCAATAAATCATTGATTGATGCTTTTTTCTTCATTATTTGGTTAGCTCAATAGCCAGCTGAACAATATTCATCAAACAAATTACTTACTTTTCCCCCATCAATCTGCAAATAATTTATTCACAAATACTTTTTACATGAGGCAGCCAGCTCTAGCCAGGACAAATCAAGGTAATTTCCTACTCTTTTGATCAAATGCCAGTAAGACTTTATCTTGGACAGCTCAATAGAGGCGGGTTTTAATGCATAATACATAATGGGTAAGCTGAGGTTTTCACAGTACTTTGTGAGCTCTCTGCTATTGCCCATATTTCTCAGTAGTTCAACTGAGAGAGGAATGACAGGGGGACATTTATTTTCCATCCAGGAATGCTCAGACACATTTCACAAAGCCAGCTCTACAGCTCTGAGGGTGCAGGGCTCACCTCAGCCACAACCATGATGGGGCAGCTCCTTGGCTGGAAAACGCAAACTGCTTAACAGAGCAGGAGTCGAGGAGAGGAAATGAAGATGAGTATTGTGCCCACTCCAAAACACAAACAAAACTTAGAGGCAGAATAAAATCAAACAATGTGGAATTTGACCAGTACGCTGAGGATAATGGCTCTAGCTCTTGAGAAAAGAGTCTTTAATGAGTAGCCAAGACACAAGACGGCACATCCCCATGTAGATTTCTCCAGGACAACATTTACACTGTGGTTCCTTTTCCCCAGGGTTCTCATGCAAGCAGTTTGGAAGCCACTGACAGTCCCTTACCGCCCTTAGTGGCTGTCATATTGCTGACAGAGCTGATGAGCATAGCCTTATCCGCCTCTATGCCTACCCCTCTCTTTTGTTGGGGAGAGATTAAGGCTGCTACACACCAGCAGCAAGGAGACTCAAGTAAATAGGGCAATGGGGCCAAAAGATTTCTCCCCTGCTTAAGGCTTGCAGCCAGCAATCTGCACTGCATGTTAGCAGTGCTTTTGCAGCCTCTGCCCCTGAACACGGTGCTGGATCCTCATCAGGGTGGGTCCTTCTGCTATTGGTTGGAGATGTAAAGGGCTTCTGAATGCAGTTTACCTTTGCACTCCATGCTGCATGCAGGCCTGCTATGCAGTCGTCTAACCTTTGTCTTCTGCTGCCCAGGAAACAAAGAAGTGGGGAGAACAAGAGTCATTTATCCATGTTTGTAAAGAGTGAAACTTTGCAACAGCAAGCAAATATATATTGGAGGAGTGGCACAAAAAGGGAGTGGTTGTATATGGGTTTCTGTAGGATCAGTGTGCATTCATGCACATATGTGCATGTATAATAATATGTCTAATACAACACTTCAATCTTGATCCTTCCTTGAGTTTCAGTTGGTTAATCTAGTTACTCCCAAATGAGAGATGCCTTCACCCTTTGCATTATGCAGAAATCTAGGCATGATGAAATGCAGGCAAATATTTCTGCAGCATCATCAATAAATGAATTATATGTGGTATCTACTCGAAAAAACAACATGCTAAACACTGAAAGTCAAATGGGATGCCTTTCTGAGAAACCAACAACTGACCACATATTTACTCTGCATCTCACGAATAAACAAGGTGAAAGCAGAAAACCAGAGGAAAATATTTATCCTGACTTTATACTTGGAGAAAGCTTTTGACTCAGTCTGGCTCTTGTAGCTGAGCTATGCAAAATGGAATTGGCAAGGGGAAAAAATGACATAATCACATACATGTAACAATCCATTGAAAGTAGGACACACAAAAAAGAAGAAAACAGGTTTTAAAGGAGAAGGTAGACTAACACAGTGGCCAGCTTCATGCCTGCTCTTTCTGTCATCTATGCTGGAGATTTATCAGCCTCAGAGAAACAGTTCTCAAACTGAATGAGGGATCTCAAGCACCTGCTTAAATTGTCACAATACTACGAAACGTATTTTAGCACACCCTGCTTCAAGGCCATGTAGCGAGGAAGGAAGAACGTTGGTGATGGCAGGATAAAGATGCTCTCTTAGAAAACACAGATGCAGAGAGAGAGTTGGAGATTCAACATGGGTAATGGACTCCACAAGGTTTTTGTGCAGTGTAGGCTGTTAATGGTCTAATTCCATTTTTAGAGATGTGAGAGAGGGAAACCAAACGACGACTGAGAGATGATTTTTACTTTGTGCACAGCATGTGTGTATAGAACACAATGACACTGTATCTAGGGTGGGTGCCTGTGAGTTAAAAAGCACTTAGAAACATTGGAGAGTGAAAAATGCTTCAGTGGCTGAAACTGAATCTTACAGTGTGAGGCTTCAAAGGAAACACTCTATTCAGTTTAACAAGCAGAAGTGGTACGATCACCATGTATGGTTACTTACCCATGAAAATGGGTGGGTTACAGTTTTTAGACAAAGGCATAACAAGTCCTGATGTCTCGAAGTTGGATAAATTCAGCCTTAAAGGAAGCATTTTCCTGGCAGCAAGAATAATTACATTGGAATAAATTAGTAAGTAGAGTGAGGCACTTGCCGTTACTTGGGGTCTAAGACAAAGATGTGCTGTCTTTCAAACTCACTTTGATACAGCTGCTGGGAAAGAAAAAATCTATGGCTTGCGTGTATGGGTCAGATTAACAGGTACAGTGGTCCCTTCTGGCACTTGTTGAGAACACCACACACCATAGCTCAGAATAGCACGGATTTACCTGTTCTTTTCACCAGTGTAACTAACTGCGGAGCAGTGGTGAAGTAGATGCTGGTATCTAGCAGTTACAGTAAGAGCAATAGGGTATTCAAAATGGGACAATCATGAGAAAATTTTTTCCAAGGACATAATGAAAATCATCAGGTCACTGCTGTACTTTTCAGCAGGGTAATTCATGTCCTGGATCAGTGTTCCTCAACTAGCAACAGAGCACAGGAAATAAGAAGTACAAAGCAAATGTGGACTGGGGGTCTGCAAAATAAGTGGCCTTGTGCACACAGTAAACTTTGCATTCATGACTGCATCCATGTATATGTATCAGGATCACTGCTGCCAGGCTTAAGAGGCACAAGGGGATGTATTTTCAGCATGAGAGTTTGATGAAGTTGCAGCAGTTTAACCAGCATAATGGAAGGTGATCAGTGAGAGATGCTCTAACCTGTTTTCTAAATTTTGTGTAAGGGACACGGCTTAGTTTACAGAAGTGATGTTTTTCAGTGAAGGAAAGATGTATTTGAATTCTGGCCAAAGAAGGAGGTAGAGCAGAAAGATTGGAAAGAGGCAGCAAGAACAAACAGGCACAGGAGGGTATTGTAAACATAGGTGAAAAGAGTCTTGTTTTGTTTGGGCAGCCCTTTCTCAGTCACGCTTATGGATTCAGCCTCATTTGCAGTTTGGGAGCTAGGAGAACTTCAGTGTGGACAGGACTAAGTGGCCCCCAGGTACCTCATGGCTGCAGTTCTGCAAAGAGATCTACTGTGTACAGGAATTCGGGTAATTGTGGTTGGAGGGTAAAAGTTCTCATCATCAGTTTTAGGAGGGTCTTTTTTCATTCCTACAAGGCAACCCTCTCTACTGTAAAGCATTACAGAATGAGTAACAAAGGCCAAACTAAAATCCAATCTGATAACCATGCTCAGTTATGAACACAGCACACACTTCCTGCTAGTGGAAGTAAACAACCTCACCCAAGTCAAGGCATGCTCAAGACCAAAGTGCGCCAAAGACACTAGAATAAATCCTAAACCAGCCATTTTGTGTGGGAGCAGCGGCTCAAAACTGCATAGGCTCTGGAGATTCCCCACTCACAGAAACAGTGTAACACAGACTCAGCTCCATCACCAACAAAAGAACTGATAGCCTGAAGGGAGCCTAGGCAGCAAAGTGCACAACGCACATGAGAAGAGCGCTGATTTACAGTTAAGGGGAATGAAGCAGCAGATAACTGGCTGAGTTACTAGAGAGAAGGCCAGTGCCTCAGTTCTTTGTTTTTACAAACAGGAAATTAAATCCCTGAGCAAACAAAAATCCTTTGTCAGCAGGCCGGGAAAAAAGGTGGTGGAGTGGTGGCAAGAATCCCGTGTGGCAGCCGCCCTTTGTTGAGTTAACGTTGGGAAGGCAAGAAGGGGAAAAGAAACTTTGTCCTAAACAGGGCAGCGCAGCTTGTGTGCAAGAGTGACCCTATCCCCTGCTTGGGGCAGAGGGCATCCATGCTGCCCCCTACGCTCCCTGTCCTAACCCAGGCTGTGCAGGGCAGGGACGAAAGTGGACCCCATCCCACAGGTGGGTTTTGAGTCTATGCCTGCGTGAGTGGGGGGGACACGAGAGGACCCTCCAGTTAGGGCTGTGAGACAACATGTAGGGAACCTCCGTGTTTGGGCTGTGCTCGGATCAGCGGGCAGCTCTCGGCCTCGGTTTGCGTGGAGATAGAGATGGGGGTGACCCCCCATGCCTGTGTTGTGGTTCAGTGTGGGGGAACACTGGGCTGCGGATGCGTCCGTGAGGAAAGGGGCCCTCAGCCGATCCCTGCGCTGGGGGTACCCGCTTGGGGTGGGGGGCACAGCGGACACGAGGAGACCTCACCCCGGCGCGGCGCGGGCGGGGAAGAGTGCAGCAGGGCAGGAGCGGCGCCATGGAGGCCCCGCGCGCTCGCAGGGCCCAACGGCTGTTCCCGGGCGGCAGCAGCAGGGAGTCTAGCTCCGAGACCTCTCCCCTTCCCCGCGCCCGGGCACGGGGCCTGTCCCGGGCCACGTGTGCGTGGTAGCTCCTGGAGGCCGGGAGACGCGGCCCCGCTGTGTGAGGAGCCCTCCGCACAGCAGAGCCTGGTCTCCTCCCCTCTCAGGGTGTGTAGGCTAGACCGGGCCGGACCCCCGCGCCTCCCCCAGTACCTGCAGGAGGGGGCGGGCGCTGGAGAAAGTTTGTCTCTGTGGTTGGCTGCGCCGCACGGCACGGCCGGTCGGGGCGGGCGGGCGGCTCCGTGTGCTCGCAGGGCAGCGGGAGGCGAGCTGTTGGCCGAGGAGCAAGCTGCCGGCGGTCTTGCTCGCGCAGGAAGAGGCATCCGCGTAACCCTGCCAGCATGGGGCACCGCGGGCTCAAGGCGTCCTGCCTGCCTCTCTTCGTTCTCCTGCTGCTGCTCGGTGAGCCCGCAGGCTGCGCGACCGGGGCAGCAGGGAGGGCGGCGGGGGGAGGGGCAGGTTGTGCTCGGACACCTTCCCCCCAGGTAGTGGGGGAGACCCAGGCCCGCGGGCACGGGCCCCTTGGCGCTGGGCGGGGGACCGCCCGCCGTGCTGTGCCCGCCTGAGGCGCGGCGGAGCGCAGCCGGGCGCTGCCCTCCGAGGGGCGGCGAAGCCGGGCTCAGCCGTGCCCAGCCCCGCTGGCCGGGCCGCCGCCTTCACGCTCTCTTGACGCGCCCGGTGGCGTTAACGGCCGGCGCAGCCCTAACGGCTCCGCGTTCCCTCGGCTCCCGGTGCTCCTTCCAAGGCCGGAGCGCGGACTGCTGCCGCGTATCTCCCCGGAACTTCAAGGGGGATGGGGCGCGGGGCATGCTGCTTGCCGCTTTTCCCCGGTGAGAGGGGTTTCCACAGGCGGCCGGAGTGACGTGACGGTGTGGCCGTAGCTGCTCTTACGCGACCCGGTGCATGGGCTGTGGTCGCTGCAAGGTAAGGGCAGTGAAATTTCACCTCGCAGTTCGTGAAGTGTCTCGTTTCAGGGCCGAGGGGGAGATCATTTTCCTGTCTTCCTCCCGGCCTCGAGGGAAGCTGCAGGATGGGCCCCCACAGCTGGCAACGGGAGCCCGGGTTCTTGGGGCACTCCGGTGTTGAGGGGGAAAGAAATACTTGTGCACCCTCCCTTCCTGGCTCTTGGGGTTTGCTGCCTCTGCTGTGAAGTTCTGCGGAGAGATAATGAGTAATTGTGTAGATGATGTTTTATGGCGTGTTCACATAATTGTGTAGCTGTCGTTAGTTTAATGTGGCATTATTCCTTACTGGTGTTAATGCCAGGCAGGTGGTGTGCGGAAATAAAGACACTATAGCAAGAACGACACAAAAGGGTAAATGGTGGGTTTTGTTTTCTAGCTCTTCACTTTCCTCACGCACATACTACCCCCTTTTTCCAACACTGACTTGTAGCATTGTTGTTAACAGTGTTACTGAAGTAGCAGTATGTTTAACTAGAGAACCAGAAGGTTGTTCAGGTAGCGTAGTTATGTGTAGTACTTCAGCAGTTCTGTGTGGTCAGGAGTACTTCAGGTGCTGGTGAGCAAGCATGCCCCACAAATTAGTACACGCAGTTCTTGATTCAGCACTTGCAGGTAGTAAGTGGGAGCCTTTTCCAGATTTAGGGCGGAATGGGTAACAGTGCCCTAGCCCCATGCTGCAATGCTTTTCAAACAAAACTGTATTTACTGACTTAGTTTCTGCTTGTATAACTATATAACTAATTCTTGTTTTAAAGTCTGCCAGAGCACTTTCCTCATGGTTTGGCTGTTGAGTCTTTCATAGCCAGGTCTGCAAAGCAGATAGTTACAGTTGAAAAGTCAGTTTCCTAAAGCTAGCTCATCCTAGTCTCTTCGCTGAGGCTGCTCGCAGGCAGTGAGGCAATTGGGGCAGATGGGTGTCTATCTACAAGTCAAGGTCCTACCACATGAAGGTGTCCACTGTGCTTTCTTTTACTTGCAGCTATCAGTCATCTCATTTATCTGTACAATACAGGCTTTTTGCCAGCTGGGGAAACAGTGAAGAACTATAGAGAGCACCTTTAGTGTTTCTGTTTAGAAACAGAAAAGGAATACTTTTTTTTTTTTTTTCAAGAGAATAGTTTAGTAGGACAAGCGGAAAATCAGAGCTCTCAGGTACTTAAGGTCATGCAGCAAAAACTAAAAACCATTAAAGGATGATGTGCAGCAGGAAAGTTGTTACCTTATTAATTCCAGGTAAAATAATTAGAAGAACTTAAACTGTGCATGCACAGATATCTGAACACTGTTCATGATATGGTTTGTCTGGGTGTTCTGAGTTGCCTTTTGGGGATATATGAAACCTGTGCTGTTAAAATTGAAAGTGCTTTTGTGTGCAGGAGAAAAGAAAAACAACCTAAACTTTTCAGTCTTACTTGTGGTGAGGCTATCTTTATGATACCATTACTTGGTAGCTTCTGTGAGGCATTCAAAGGGTTAAGAGGTTGGGAAAATAGTGTTCTTCTCACTCTGGATGTGAAAAGTATACTTCTGTGAACATGTGTTTTCTAGGAGCTTTTTAATAGAGAGACATGTTGGAGCTTTTTCTTAACTAATGTGCTGCAAGTGTTGAATTCTTGTATAAAGGGTGGTGGAGGGAAGGAGTTGAAGCATAGAAGACTTAGTCCCTTGTGTATACTTAGACTTGATTGTTTTGTTCAGATCTTTATGAAATAACCCAGCAAAAGGATGCAAATGGCTGAAGTATCTGTCTGTGACAAATAAGAATACTTTCTCATCCTTTTTCCTGGATCCAGTACAGTTATAATCTGCTTGGTAAAGAGATTACGTATCCTGAGATTAAGTCTTGATCTAGACTCTTTTTTTTCCCCTCCTCTGGTGTGGTTAGATCCTGAGAAGAAAGGGCAGCCTGAGATCATTTTTGTACTGCCATTGCTTGTTTTTTATGTAATTTCATTCTGCAGTCAGTGTGTGTTATCCTGTGAAATGCTCTGGAAACCAAAACAACCCTTCCAGGACAAAGCATCCAAAAACCAAAGCAGGTATCTGGTGGTTACCAAGTCTCAGACTCTAAAGTAAAGAGGAAGCCCTACAGCTACTGGATTATCCCCTACCTCCCCCCCCCCCCCCCTCCCCCTCCAGGTTCTTGCTTGAGATTTGAAGTAAGAATTTCAGTGTATCTGAAAAAAGCTTTGTTTTTAAAGTGCTGTGGGGCTTGAGGAGAGCAGGCACTCAGTAGATCCTGGTGGAAAACCATTGAATATGAGTTTCCCAGAGGTGGCCTTTTCCTTACTACTGTTTAGACCTGTGTGACACTTGCTGTCCACTGTGATGATCCCCAGGAGTCTTGTGTTTACATGAATAGAGTTCTTTCCTACAACTCATCTGAAATTCTTTGTTGTTTTTGTGTTTTCTCTTTTTTTCTTGTCCCCAGAAGCTGCAACATTTAGGCCTTTGAATCAAGGTTTAATTCAAGCTCTAAAATAGAAAGCTTTTGGTAATTAGTATAAGTTATTGTGATCAGGAACTTCAAGGAAAAGCGTGCATTTGCAGCTGGAGTGAAAGCATTAGAAAATGGGAGATCCTCAAGGTTTAGGGCAATGGGCTGGTAGCCCAAGGTGTGTTAGAGGGGAATTTTTTTCCTGTTCCCTTGCTGGTGCTTGCTCCCTTGCCCATGAATCCAGGACTGATGCTGGTGGCCTATGCCTTCTGTTGGAAGAAGGCAGGCTCAGATCCTCACTGACACTCAGAGGAAAAGCTGTCAGCTAGGCCTGCCTATCTCTGTTGTAGCTTTAAAAGTGGTTAAAAAGGCTCCCAAAGGCGAAATACCAGCAAGCCTGTCCTGTTCTTAACAGCTGTGGACTGCTAAGGCACTATAAGCATATATTGAGTGTTGGAACTAGGTTGGTGAGGCACTGAAGGGCAGGTGGTGTTGCTGAGAAGCAAGCGCTTTCCATGTCGTTTTGCTATACTGATGTATTTCTTAGTATGTTGTCTGTGGGAAGATGTGGGAACCAAAGGGAGAGTAATGTCGCAACTGTTTTTCCTTGTATCCTGTGTTCTTTTGGGTTGGCAAATGATAGCTTAGTCACCTTTTCAGGCTCTCTTGCTTATTTGTAGGTTCTTTTTCAGGGTTCCTTTTTAGGGAGTCTGAGTGCTTTTCCTGAAATCCTTCTACCTTTTCTCCAGGTTTCTCAGTTCTTATGTTTCAGCATAGCAACAGCTTGCTCTCTTTAGGTAGCCTCTGTTGTATTTGGCTGTAATCCCTGAACTGTGGTACAAACCTGCCTGAACAAGATCTGAAGTAAGCGGTAGGGGTCATTTAAAAATGCAGCCATATGCTTGATTAGAGGGAAATGTACTTAAGAAATAATATATGTCCATCCACCTAGCTATATAAACAAACATTCAGGGACATTTGAGATTTCAGCTTTCACATCTAATAAGTTCATGAGTTGATTTACTTTTGTGCAATTGTTTTATTTGTTGTTGGGTTGTTTTTTCCAGTCTCCATAATCCTTGTCAAACAATTCCCTGCAAAACAGACCTGTATATTCAATAGGGAAAAGGTTACATATCTCAATAAGATAATTTTAGAATGTGAATATTTAAATTGCCTGGTTTTAGATGCCTTTCACTGATACATATTTTTGTGTGTGTTTGTAGATCTGTGTTTTAAAAGTAAGGAAAACAGACACATTATCTGCAAATGGAAATTCTTTTTGGTTATGTATATATATGTATATATCAGTCACTTGAAAGTTAAGTTGGAAAGAACTTCAGGGAGACATTACTGATATGAGTTGGGTCAAAGCAGGGGTTATGCCAGTTTCTATCAAAGTTTCTAGTAGTTTCAAAAGAAAAATATTAGGTGGTGTGTAAAGTAAGTACCTATATCATAATGCAAGGAAAAATATTTTTAATACTTTGCTTTTGACATTTATTGGAGATGTTCAAGTTAAGTCCCAGGCCCCTGCTCAACACCCTGCTTTCTTAGAAGTACTGCAGTAGTAAGCAGTAAGTTTCAGACCAAACTGCTTTTGGGATAGGATGATATGAAAAATAGCTGCTCGAATGCCAGCAGACTTGAATAATGTCTTTCCAGATCATTGGCATTTCTGGAATAAGAAGCAAGATGGAAAGTATGGAACTTTTAAGAAGTTTCTTCATATTTTGAGCTTTGTAACAGAAACTGGCTTATTCATTTACATTACATAGTTCTAAAGCATAACTAAATTCTTATAACTGAGACAGAAAAAATGGATGGTCTTTTTTTTTAACTCTGGAGTTGGAAGACGTTTCAAAGCTGGGTTTCCAGTGGAAATCGTTATCACTTAAACTTAGTCAGAATGTTCAGTTAAAAGTGAGCTAGATGGAAGGTAGAACCAGCATTGCTAAATACCTTTGCTGAGTCTTGTGAAGCTGTAAAGGAGTATGGTA